GGCTTGCTTCACTAAGCAGTAAATCTTCCATATTCATCCATTTTCTGTCAAAAGCCAGGGTCTTGTTTTTTATGGCTGAGTTTAAGTGAAGTTCTGGCTTTACTCAGCACTTTATTGTATCTTCAAAACAAAAAAACTACAGTCTGGTGCATAAGCAAGCAATGGGTATACTTCTCAAAATCTTGTGGAAAGGAGGAGGAGAGGGTTTACATCACATACCATCCTGTAAATTACCCATATTCATCTCCTTTAGATATTTCCAGTCTCTGCCAAAGTTACCCTGTGGCCTCTTTGCCTATCAAGAACCCACTCTGAGAGCAACACTCAGCCCTAGGCCAAGTCTCCTCCTCTCTTCTCCATTTCAGGAACAAGTAGATCCCTTTTCTTCTCTCCTATCTCTCCGAGATGGTGTTTAATCTCACACAGGCTCCACAAACCCAGTGTTCACAGATAATCACCAACATTCACCTAGAGGGATGTGCTTCATATTATTAAACCCATGAAGTATTTAGTGTGGCACCTGGAGCACCGAGAATTGTTACAAATGTTAAGTATCATTATAAGTGGACTCTAATGGCCTCCGTGGACTGATTTTTTAAGTACAATGATCGATCTAATGTCTTGCAGTTCTCAGAAGAACGTGTGTCCTACTATCTGTTTGTGGATAGTCTAAAACCTATCGAATTACTGGTTTGCTTTTCCGCATTGGTACGCTGGGGGGAATCTGGAGGTAAGAGAGCTCTGAGAGAATGATAGTCTGAATGCGAGATCATGTTCATCCTACGGAATGTCAATAAGATGTTTTAAGCCACTGATGGTGGAATCCGTTTCTTTCCTAATCTCTCAAGAGTCACCCAGAATCACCTCTGCCCCTCTGCCTCCCCTGGTTGCGGACATGAGGATCACACACGCTCTTGCCACCTCTGCCTCCCCTGGTTGAGGACATCTGTTCTCTTTGGCATGCATAGTCCTGACTTCCTTTTTACCTACACATGTGATTGTTCTTGATTCTTTCAAATCTAATAGGGAAAACTACATATATGAACTGTTTCTTTGATTTGACAGTTTCAATGTTTTATAACCATCCCACTTTGGCCCCTTCTTTTATGCTTTATGTTATTGATCTTATCTTTACCAATTAGTGCATCATCTCAATTTGAAGGACACATCTCTCTCTACCCTGACTCTCCAGTTCACTCCCTCTAGAACTTTGACTTCTGCAATTCTTGACTTCCCTGGGATTTCCATCCATCTACTCTACCACTTTTTTTTTTTCTGATCACTACTGTATTCATGTGTTTTATGTCCTATTCCCAATATAATTTTTATGGTCTATCAGTTAATTTGATTTCTTCTATCCTCAACACACTTTCCCTTCTTACTTGCTCATCTTACTTTTCTGGCAAATTCTAAATAATGGTTAAACTCTATACCTAAATTGTGGTTGCAACAGAGCAGTTGAATGTGATTGGAGGAGAAAACAAATGGTGGCTATCCCTGATTTAAATTGAAGAGCACAAACTTAGCAAGGTGTGTAAGCATTGCTAGCATTTCTCTAGTTTATTCAGTCTCCTGCACTCACTCTCCAGAATAACTATGGCAAACCTTAAAATCTTCACACACCCTCTCTCTCCAAATCTCTTTAATCTACTCTTCTTCTTCCTCATTTTCAGCTCATCATCCTATTTATGAGTCCACTGGAGGAGACAAAAGAAATGAGAAGTGACCCCCACCTCATCTTCCCATAATAAACTCTCTCGATTCTAGTCTGTCTTCCCTCCTGTTCTCATGGATGGGCAGTTCCGCTCCTACACAAGGCACATACACACAGAAAACCATTCTTTCAGTCTTTGTCTATTGTCTATTTTGTCAAAGCATTTATCTTTAACTCACATGAACAGTGCCTGACACTGCAGGTGTTCAATAAACATTTTCTGAATGCTTAATATCAAAACTTAACAACATTCGGGCAGGGACTTTTATTTTTCTCCAAGATATCTCCAATTTATGAATGGTGTTTAGAGTATAGCAATCAACCACTAAATACTTGTTGTATAATAAATTTCTTAGATCACTTTCTAAAATTTAGTGATATAAGTTTGCCATGTCTACCTAGCCGATAGCCTCAATATCCTAACACAGTCACATTTTATATGCATAGAGGCATTTCAGATCCTGGTGTGGTATTATATCTCTGTTTGAGTATATTCTGGAATAAGGCAAAAAATATTTTGTCTTCAATGATTGATGAAGAATAGTCAGTATTCTTTGCTCATTTGAAAAGAAAGGCTTGATACTAAAATTAACATTTTCATAAACCACTTTCTATTTCTATTAAGGTCAAAGACTATAAGAATCAAAGGTAAAAAGTTTGATAAACAAGGAGATATTTTGACTTGCTTTGACAGTTTATCAGAGTCTTATGTATATCTGCTTTTCAGATTTGCTACTTATAAACTCATTATCTTATTTTACTTTCCCAGATGTGATATATTTTCTTTTTTTTTTAAATTGCATACATGATTATTGTATTACTGACACAGAAATAATAAAAGGTATGGTATATTTTGATAAAATATACCTGTCTGGTGGCTAAGGGCACTGGACTCCTACATGGCCAACTGTGGTTTGAGTCCAGGACCTAGCTGCTTGCCTTCTCACTTTTCTCTCATTCTGTCCCTCTATGGTCAAATTTAAATAAATAAGTAAATAAATGTATAAATAAAGTTGAGCATTAATTCCAACAGTTACTTACCCAGAATAACTTCTAAAGCTTTATGAACATTAAACAAATAGTTAATGCCTAATTTTATTATTGTTGTTGTCATTATTAATGTTGTTAATGAATAAAAATCTCTTTGTGTGAAAGCCAGCTCTAGTTTCAAAATTAAATTTTCATCTTTTTTCCACTTGTCCTAAAGCCTTAACAAAAGACAGCCCTCCTGTAGAACCTGGACTCCTCATAGTTGAAACAATTTCTTGGAAATCTCTGAAGCCACGCAATCTTGTTCTGAAGATTCATACATATGCTACCAAAGCTGCAGTGGTCCGTCTGCCTGTTGGGTATGGAGTAGCTTTTAGTTTTCTCATACTAATAATTTTTTGAAGCCTTGTAAAATGGTCACTATTGCAGTAAATTGTAGTTTTCTTTTCTTTCTTGGTTTTGTTTTTTTGTTTTGTTTTGTTTTTTAGATTTTTGCTATAGGGTGTGTGTGCTCACCAGAGCAAGAGATGGAAAGCGATAAATCGCCCCAAGGTGGATGGCCACGCTACAATGCCTCTTCTTCATTTTCCTCTCAGGACTTGGGCATGCATGCACATGCACCCAGAGTGAGTTCAAAGTCGCCGGGGCTGGAACTCGCACCACAGTCAACTATGTGAGAGTCCAGCAAAGAAACCATTATGCCATCTGCTGGTCCCAAGGAGATGGTTTTCTAAAGTGATTTCACAAGGGATAGATCTATAAGGTCATTGGGGAAGTCATGCCATATTTTTCTATGCTTTTCTATGCAAAAATGCATC